GGTATAAAATCTACTCTTATAAAATCAATATCACATGTGTCTTAAGTCTTGATTTGTTTAAGGGATAATTTTATAAAACTCACCCTCAACTAATTGTGTGTGCGTGCATGCGTGTGTGTGTTTTTTTTTTCGCTTGTTTAGGGGGGGGGGGGGGCGGGGGGGAGTGGGGAATTATCTATACCCAATTTGAGGAGATTTAGTTAAATTAAAATAGTTGATGGGGTTTTCTAAGCCAATCCCCCCCACCCCCCACCCCGGGAATTAAACTAAATATAACTCCGTCAAATAACTAACATTGTTAGATTTAATCTATTATAGACATGACAAGTATCCCGCAACCATAAAAGAATTACTTGGTTTTTGCTAGATAAAAGAAAAAGAAGAGATATAGAGGGAAAAAACACCGTACATTGGCCGTGGTCCTTTTATTATCGGTTGAGGGTTTTTCTAAACTAAAATGAATTATTTAAGAGTGTACGTATTTCATCCAAATGACATACTGAAATAACAATGTTAAGAGAGCTTATTGAGAGAAGTGTAAAAGGTCATGGGAGTTCTTATAGGGGTGTTGTAGATAATCCCTCTCAACTTTGGTACAAACAGTACTACTGTTATACAATAATTTGTTAGTTGTTAAAAGAACATGGTTTGTTGATTAACTAATACCAACTTGAAAAAAAATGCTCTTCTCATGACCAAATCTTATTCTGCCTTAAAACATGGACGGCTAAAAAATATTTCTAAATATTTGAGGCCCAATGTCAAATATTTCATTTGATCTCTAAACCGTATTCAAATTAATCAGTTCTTTCTTATAGGCAAAAAGATTAAATAAAACATACATCCTAAAATAAATCAAGTTATTAAGAGGCTGAATTGAGTAAGCTCCTTTTTTTTTAGAGAGAACTGGATGAAGAAGCCTCAAAACATGAGGCCCCAGTCGTTACCATTACCCCCAAAAAAGGATTGGTTACAGTTCGTAGAGCACACCTCCAATCCTAGAGTGTACTCCTATTGCATTCTGCAATTTACAGAATAAATTGAGTAAGGTCATGAAAACCCTATACCTTTTTTGACCTGTTCTCAAGCAACACGCGTCCCTACACTAGTACAAACTCTCATTTCTTCTCTCCAAATCTTTATTTATACATAACACTATATTAATAACTTGCAAGAAATCTAGCGACCTAGTGGCCTTTGCATGTAGAGAAAAAAATATCAATCTCCGGTGAAACAAAGAATTCCTTGTTGCCGGAGTCCTGTGGATTAGTAGGGCAAGGCTCCGACCTCTGCTTCTTTGGCGCTGGAGGGCAAGAAAATGTTGTGATCTTGTACTCGTTCCTCGTTGGTGTTCGACATGGCTGATCCTCCTCTTCTTCCCGCTCTTCTTCTTCGAAAATTCGACCCATTAACACGACACCATATCAGAATTTGTAGAAGAAATTTTTTTATTATGAGAAGAAAAAAGATATGGGGAGTAGGAGAATTTATAGTGATGAGAGAGAGAGAGAGGGCATATAATTCTGGTAGGAATGAGATTTTTGTTTGTCGGAGCCACGATTTGCATGAGCATGGAGTCGGTTATTTTTTCATGTTGTGTTGGGTATGATATTTTTTTCATGTTTGTGTTGTGTATGAGCCCTAGTACAGAGTTTGGACTTGTTTCGTCTTGTTGATTTCAATTTCTCTGATTTGTTGACCGTGGGAGCAGCCAAGGTCTTGTTGGTTGACCGGTTTCGCGGAGTCTAGTTGAGCATGTCGCAAAAGCGTTTCTGAGGGCCCTCTCTTTTGTCATGGCCCGGCTCGGATCTTATGATGGAAAACCTTTTCCTTGGTCTATTCAATTAGCGTACATAAAAAAGTGTAATAATTAGAAGAATATTTGGTGTTCGGCATTAATGATGCACATGGGATTCCCATAAGATTTTAATTTCAAATGTGTGTGTGTGGGGTGGGGTGGGGTGGGTGTGGGGTGGGGGGGGTTCAAAAGGCAGTCGGCCTGGGCTTTTGGCCGAACGGCCCGGCCAGGCCCAACCGGAACAATACTTTATTTATATTATAATATATATATATATTATTATATTATATTAATATTATATATATATATATATATATATATATATATATATTAATATATATATATATATATATATATATATGGAGATGTTCAAATAAAAACCTCACTATCCTAAAAACTAAAAACCAATCCTCTCCATTGGATCTAGATTCATCCAATGGCTGAGATTAAAGCTGCATAAGGGTAATGAGGTAAAATAAACAGCCCACTAAAGAGAGGTAATTAATGCTTCTCTGTTCAGTTCTCCATTTCCCCATGCAATCTCACGGCTCAGGCAACCCAACAGTCACGAAGAGCAGCTCTCTCTCAATCGAGAAATCGTCCAGCAGCTCTCGATCATCGTTCATCGTTCTTCAGCACCCGTTCATCGAGAAATCGTGCAGCAGCTCTCGTTCAGCGTTCTTCAGCTCTCTCGTTCATCGTTCAGCAGCTGACCATTGTTAAACATTTTATGGAGATTTAAATGAAGATCTTGAATTCAGGTGTGCAGGGTCTAGTTGTTTTTATTTTAATGGATCTAGATTCAGTATTTAAATACTTAGTCATATGACTTATTATATAGGAGCTTACATTCTTAAACATTTTATGGAGATTTAAATGGAGAGTTTTAATTCAGTTGAACACGTTATAGTTATTAATCTAGATTAACTGCATTGAATCGAGATTCATTGTTAGAGATTGCAGTGTTTTTCATAATTTATTCACTTGTTTACTGCAGTGAATCTGGATTCAATGCAGTGAATCGAGATTTACTCTAGATTAATCAGCAATGATATGAATTCAATGCAGTGAATCGAGATTCACTCTAGTGAATCTAGATTCATTGCGATGAATCCCGATTCAGTATATCAAAACTTAGTCATATGACTTATTATCTAGAAGTTTACATTCGTGAACATTTTATGTCAATTTAATTGGAGAGCTTGAATTCAATTCAACAAGTTCTAGTTGTGCAGAGAATGCAATGATCTTCATAATGTATTCCCATGATTTCTTTAGTGAATGTGGATTCAATGAATTGAATCCAGATTCACTAAAGAAAACATGGGAATACATTATGAAGATCATTGCATTCTCTAATAACTAGAACATGTTCAAACGGATTCACGTGTTTAATGTAGTGAATATGGATTCAATGTAGTGAATCGAGATTCACTCCAGTGAATGCAGATTCATTGCGATGAATCCAGATTTAGTATATCAAAACATAGCCATATTATTTACGTTGTTTTATTTTCAGTTGTAGGTAGCAATGAACAAGTTAAGGAACCACATGTTATAAATGCATCGGACAGTGATTTTGGGGAAGATGGAATGGACGAAGTTAGCTCGATTCCTTTTGAATCACCAGGTGGGTATGTATTGGAAACCTCGGGTTGAAGCTGAATTTAAACCTTATCTAAACCAAAGCTTCCGATCACTAGAGGATGGTATAGAGTTTTACCGAGAGTATGGACGTAAAAGTGGGTTTGAGATCAGACGGCATACAGAGAAGAAACATGAGGACGGTACAGTTCTTCTTAAACACATTGTTTGCAGTAAAGCTGGCATCAATGAATCAAAGATGGATGTTGATTTTGATGACTTTAGTAGCATTTCGAAAAAGAGAAGGAGAACTGTATCTAGTAGATGTGGTTGCAAAGCTAAATTTGTTTTTAGGTTTGATGGTTTGAAAGGATATAATGTCTTCTCATTTGTTGAAGAGCATTCTCATTTTTTGGTCTCCGGTAGTGGGAAACAATTTTTGAAGTCAAATAGAGTTCTCGGTCTCGCACATAAGAAACTTGTATTTGATGGAGCAAAAGCTAACACGGGGCCTAACAAAACATATAAATTTGCTAAGGAGTTGCGTGAAAGTTATTCTAATGTTGGTGCTACCTGTACCGAGTTTAAAAATTGGAGTAGGGATGTGAAGCTTTATATTGGTGATCGAGATGCTCAAATGATCATCGAGAAGTTCATGGATAAGAAGGAGATGAGTGATGGATTTTTCTATGATTATGCAGTCGATGAAGGGGGTCGATTAACTCGCATCTTTTGGGCAGATGTTATTGGGCGAAGAAATTACGATGTATTTGGAGATGTGATATCATTTGACTCTACATATTCCACAAACAAGTAAGATTTTATAGTTAATCTATTACGATTTTTAATATTGTAATTATATATCATAGTGAATCTTATATTTTTTTGTATGTGATACAATAGGTACAACATGAAGTTTGTTCCATTTACTGGTCTCGACAATTATAAGAAGTGTGTTGTATTTGCAGCAGGATTGATAGCTAAAGAGGACATTGATAACTATGTCTGGATTTTTGAGGTATTCATGAAATGCATGATTCGTGAGCCAAAGTGTATTGTTACAGATCAGTGCCCTACCATGAAGCAAGCTATACCAACCATCTTTACAGAAGCACGTCACCGTTTGTGCATGTGGCACATCATGAAGAAATTTAACCAAAAGGTAATGAATCCCACATATAAATATAATGAATCCTCATTAGATAAATACTGAATCTTTCGTTATATATTTATATTGTAGTTGGCAAAATGCATTTCGAAGATGGATGATTTCAAGAGGAAGATTAATGCACTGATTTGGAGTATAGATATAGATCCAGCAACATTTGAAGTCAGTTGGAAAGATGTTATGAAAGAATATAAGCTTGAAAGTAATGAATGGTTGTGTGAACTGTATAACATTCGGGAGTCATGGATTCCAGCCTATTATGCTGATGATCCAATGGCCGGTTTATTGCGGACTACATCAATATCAGATAGTGAGAACAGTTTCTTTGACAAATTCAACCGTAGATCTGACACATTGACAGAATTTTATCTCCGATATGAGAGTGCTATGGAGAAGCAAAGGCATACAAACGCAAGATTAAACTATGAATGAACGAAGTCGATGCCAAGAATGGACACGCCATTGTTATTGGAGAGGGATGCAGCAGAGTTGTACACTCGAACAATGTTTTATGAGGTACAGAGTGAGATAATGTCATCCTGTTATGATATGAGTATCAACAGTATATCAGAAGAAGATGGCGTGAAGATTTTTTCCATAAAGGATAAAAAGAGACATGGAAAAATATTTGAGGTAAAAGTTAATAATGGATATTGAAACAATAAAAATTGAATCTATTTTCAATACAATGAATCACGATTCAGTATTGTGAATGTCGATTCACAACACTGAATCGCGATTCAGTGACCATTACATGTGCTTGTCATTTACTTTTTTTATTCGGTGCTAATATACATTGTTTTTTGAATTTTAGGTGAAACACACTTATTTGAACAATGACGTGCAATGTACATGTAGGCTGTTTGAGAAAATGGGTATAGTATGTAGACATGGTTTTTTTGCACTGAACCAAGCTGATGTAACAAAAATACCAAGACATCTTGTTGTGAACCGATGGACAAAAGGTGCTGAGATGAGGCATTCATTGCAGTTCAAGGAAATATCAGAATAGTGCAATGCAATTGAAGTTACAAATCGGAAGTTGAATGACATATGGTATGATTTCCAATCCTGTGTGAGTTTGGCAGGTTTAGATGGTGAGAGACTTGAGTACCTGAAAGGGAAGTTGAAGGAGTTGAAGCACAGTTTGCGTCAATCTAGTTGGAAATCTGACACACAGAACAAAAATGATGTAATGAAGTTTTTTGTTGGCTCAAAAATACCAGCGGAAGTGGTCGTTAAACCTCCCATTGAAGGTAGAAACAAGGGGTGTGGACGGAGAATTGTTGGTGATTATGAGAAATCAATTACTCAACGAAAGAAGAAGGTGCCAAGGCTGTGTAATATGTGCAAAAAAATCGATTTCCACGATGCACGGACATGCCCATTAAAGAAAACAATACATCAGAGTGATGTTTAATTTAGTTGTCATATTTCGTTTCAGAATCATTTTTAGGAATACATTTCTTATTAAAATTACTGAATTGTGTAATTCTTAACTACATATATTTACTAGATTATTAATTACATGGTTACGTTGTGTCATGTTAGTATATTGAATTGAGATCTACTCATATAGCATGTGAATTCCATTATTATTAGTTGTATTATTTAAGCAGGAATGATAAAGTCGTTGTATGCAGTCATCAGTTTAAATTTAATTCGCGTTAAGTGATTCTGGACTAACTATATTGAATCTAGATTCATTACAGTGAATCTAGATTCTCTGATATTGAATCTCGATATCACTATAAGGATTCATTATAATCAATCAAACAATCAAATGACTTGATTGTTTCGGTTTAAGTTATTCTGGACTAACTATAATGAATATAGTTTCATTGTAGTGAATCTGGATTCACTTATCTGCATATGGATTCACTATAGTGTAGTGACTAAGATAATATTGACTTACTGAATTTTTTAGTATAGTGAATCGAGATTCACTCTATTGAATCTGGATTCACTATAGTGAACCTAGTTGCAATCAAATAAATTAGTAATAACTTAAGATAATATTGAAACAGTGATCCAAGATTAAATACATACAATCCACAATAAGTATGATCAGATAATATTGAAACAGTGATCCAAGATTAAATACATACAATCCACAATAAGTATGATCAATTTATTGTATGTTACATAAAAGCTTGAATTATAACTCACATTCTATGCTGTAATCGAAATTCTTCCATTTGCATTCACTACCTTCACAATATTTTCATATAATCTAAAATAAAACTATGATAAAGCTATTCTTATAAAGTATATTTACATAGAAAAGCAGTTCAACACAAACTAGAGTATTCCATAACATTAAGTGACAATGTACTCAATAACTGTAAACTTCAACATTGAAAATTATGGTGATTACAGAATATCATTTTCTTTGAGATCTTGTGGTCTTCCTCGTCTCTTTTTTGATATTGGCAGTTTCAGCATGGTGCTGTTGGGCTTTGCTGATGACTTCTTTGGCCAATTTATTTTATGGTTCAGTAAGAATTTGGCAACAGTATATAGACCTCAGTCTATGTAGCTGATTTTTTAATCACTCCTGTCGATATGAATAAAAGTTCAGTTCAAGATTCAGTAGCTATATTCTAAAATTTATTAATTCAAAAAGACTAAATGTAAATTATCAACACATTATTAGTTTAAACACTTACACCCTCTCTATGAAAACCAGAGTTCCAATTTGCTGTACCACCGCCCATGTACGTCTCCATATGTCTCATGACAAAAATACCACAATCAAATTTGTTTTTGGCCGTTCTCCACTCCATCTCAAGCCTTTCAGGCGTTAATGTATTTATTTCACTCACCTTGTGATGTTTTTTGTGTGCCAAATATCTCACAAAATTCTGGTGCTGTTTAATCAAAAGTAAGCAGTGTCACATAACAAATCCAAATTATTATACAGTAATGTTTAATGTAATATACAATTTGTTTTGGTTGTTTATATGGAAACAGTATTAATGACATTGAATCACGATTCATTGGATCTAGCTCGCTAGAATTTAATAGAGTTAGTTCACCTGGACTTACTCTAATGAATCTGGATTCATATTAGTGAATCTGGATTCATTAGAATTAACTATATGTAGTGGATCGTGATTATATGATGTGAACACAGATTCACTAGCTATATTGAATCGAGATTCATAGTAAGATGTGAATCCATATTCACTAATTCTATTGATCGAAATTTCAGATCACTAGTTATAGCTAGTGGATCGTGATTACGTGATGTGAACACAGATTCACTAGCTATAGTGAATCGAGATTCATAGTAAGATGTGAATCCAGATTCACGTGATGTGAACACAGATTCACTAGCTATAGTGAATCGAGATTCATAGTAAGATGTGAATCCAGATTCACTAACTATAATGATCGAGATTCACTAGAGTTAGCTAATATGGAATTCTCTGACTCTAGTGAATTCCAGATTCACTATAGTGAATCCAGATTCACTATAGTGAATCCTGAATCCAGATTCACTATAGTGAATCCAGATTCACTATAGTGAATCTGGATTCACTATAGTGAATCTGGATTAACTATAGTGAATATGGATGAATCCAGATTCACTATAGTTAATCCAGATTCACTTATTACTGTATTTTGCCAGTAAATATTTAAAGAACATACATAAGGTGAAAAAATATACCAAACCCTCAGGACGACCTTGGTATTTTTCCTTGTAGTCTGGGCAGTTTTTGCTATTGTCAATCAGCTCCATACTTGGATTCTTTAGCCCATAGCATACAATGTAGAAATGTTCAAATGCATTTATGGGGAAGAAAACCTATTTGTTGTGAAATTTAATCAGAGATTTTACAGATATAGTTAAAATTGGGCTAAGAACAAAAATATTGTTTTCTAATCTTTACCATATCAATCTCATTAAACTTCAAATGTGGATACAGAGCAATTTGCTCATCCATCCGGGAAGAAAACCGACTGTATCGCAATTCATCATTGACCTCATCTGTGTGATGAATGTTGCAAAACTGTACAACATAAAACTGGTTAAATAATATGTAACTCAAGTGTTATTTTAAATAAAATAAAGGAAGATACGTACGGTTGTCTCAACATTGCAGAAGAATCTAAGTGGAGAATTTTCGGACTTCATTTTTTCTCTGCTGTTCAAAATATAGGACCAAATGCTGATTACATTTGCCTCAATGTAATCAGAAGGAAGGAAAGTCTTGAAAGCAGGTAAGAAACATTCAATTTGTCTCCACTTAAAAACCATTTCACTGAAAAAACAGTAACAATATTCAATTTAATAAAGGGACAAAATACTAAAAATAGTGAGTCTCACACCTAATAATAAAATATCAAATAAGTGTTCAGAACTCACAAATTCTCTTCTTCAGCGGAATCATCACCTGAATGCCTTACTTCTCTATGTACCCAATTCCATATGATGCTTTCCAGCTGACTTTGCCTAGCCGTAATCTGAGATACCCTCTGCAACCATGGTGACCGAAGAGACGTTGCAGGCTTCACCATCCTCTTTTCTTTCCCCCTTCCCGCATGTCCCTTATTTTCGGCCACCTGAACTTTCTTACCTTTACATTCATTTACCGCAGCAGCATCTTCATGTTGTTTATCAGTTCTTCGTACAGAATCATCAATGATTTTAGATTCACAAGCTTTAGCAATATGAACAACATCAACCACTTCCACTGATTCAGTTTGAGTATCCTGTGTCAGCCCAAGAGAAAAACTAGGTTCTTCAGTCTGTGGGGTACTACATTCGCTGATCTTTCGTCTCACTGGTCTGTCATCCTTTTTCAAGCTAACAGACTCTATAATCTTATCAACTTCTTGAATAAAATTTGGGGAGACTTGGGTTTGTGGTATCTCAGCTGATATTGGATCAACAGCTGGGGAACCATGCATATCTCTACTCACCTTTGTGTTCACATTAGGGGTATCATCAACAATGTTTCCCACAGCTGTTTCATCGTCACAGGTACTTACACGATGTCCAAACCCCTGCACAAGAACATTTGAAACTCTCTGTTGAATTTGAAAGAGCTCATTGTCATTGGGGAACAGCTTTCTCATTGTCTCACACTCAGCATCATATCTATTTTTTGCAGATTCCAGCTCTGCAGCTCTCCGTTGAACCCTCTCAATACAATCCTGCATTTTGAATATCACAGACATTGGTCACCATAAATTATTAACATGGTGAGAGACAAGATTCGATAGATTGATATTACATTCGATGTATTTGAATCAAGATTCAGTAGTAGTGAATCCAGATTCATTCCAGTTTCACTTCAATGAATCGAGATTCAGTAGTAGTGAATCCAGATTCATTTCAATAGATCAATATTGAGTATCACTGAATCCAGATTCACTTAAGTGAATCGGAATTCAGTTTAACTTAATCGATAATCACTGATCTGAAACGAGATTCATTACTAGTAAAACGATTCATTGATCTGAATCGACATTCTGTTTCAGTGAACCTAGATTCAATCCTACTGAATCGATATTAAATTGAATAAACAAAGTATTGCAACTTAATTTGCTAACCTTTGTAATTGTATCAACACTTTTAGGAGAGTTTCCAGTAGCACTCTGCATTCGAGATGAAGGTGCAAGTTCAACCCTCTCTGTAAATGCACATTTGCCAAATGAATTTGTACTTATTTCTTCTGACTGTCTTTCCTTCAAGGCGAAGTCAGTCCATCCTAAAAATGTAGGGGTTGTTCTCTCAACCAACCTCCTACTTTTGAACAAAACCCGATCGGCATAGAACAGCTAGAAAGACAGAGATAAGAAATAAAGCACATCAAATAGTAATCATCAAGTAAAACTACTTTAACTACAATAATGTAAAATTAAATAAATATTATACAAGTGACTTACAATCAAAAATGCAAGAGGACCCGTGTAGAATTGTTTTATCGGGTCAACCGTGTTAGACCCTAGAGGGGGGGTGATTAGGGTCTTATGCTAATATAATCCGATTAAATGCCAATTAAAACTAATAAATAAGTTATCCTAGCAAGTATAAAATACAACAATATATATCACAACCGGGTTTTCTACGTTCACCCGAATAACGTTTACACCTCACAGTATCGGTTTTCAACGCTCACCGATCAACGTCACTCCTCACAATCGGTTTTCTAGTTCACCGAAAACTTTCACACCACACTCGGTTTCTAGCTCACCGAAAACCTAACAATCTCACAATGTAACAAATATAAATTGTTCTCTAATATGGATGAGAACACAATAAAAGCTCACACTCAATGCTACAACTCTCACAACCCTAATATATTATGAATGCAAATACAATAAGCTCAAAGTGGGTGTGTGTAACAATGAGTGAAATCAAATCTAAACTCAATATAAAACTAGCTTTAATAGAAATGATAATTGACA